AGTGAGGAGAGTGGTTAGGGGGTGTTGGTAGCGTGGGTGGGTGGGGGTTGCCAGCGGTGGTTGCTGCCCCTCCCCTGTTCTTTCCCAGATAAATAATATGGCAGCCATGGTTATTGGAACTTTACTGTGATAACTTCTGAAGCTAGAGTCTGGTAAATTCTGGTCCTTCTCAGGCTCAGGTTGGCTACCCCTGCCCTAGATGTAGCTCTTTAAGCACTCAAAAGATGTAAAAAACGTCACTAAATACAATTTCCAAACTAACCAACCTCAGCTGACCTGGGCTGCAGTGGGATGAGGATATTTTGCAGGTTTAGGTAAGCCCAGTGCTTAATTTGTGATGAAAGAGGTGCGAGGGCTCAGCTGCCCTCAGTCCTGGCACAAATTAAGCACTGCCCAAAGGTGCTGGGGCTATGACCTGCCAAATGTCAGAAGGACCCTTTGCTTTGGGGCTAATGAATATTCCCCCTTTTAATCATGTGTGTTTAATTTTTAAAACAGTGCCATGTTATTGCAACTGTGGTCGTTTTGTTATGCTTTTAATTACAACATTTTGATCCAGAGGGGACGTGGCAGAGGAGGATTTACAAACCTCAATTGTATAAACTTTGCTGTTTGTCTAACTGAGGGTCCCGATTTCTACCCATTTAAGGGGGTCTGGCTGTGACGGCAGAACCTCCCCTGGCCCTGATTAAATGCCCTCCCCCTCCAAGCCTTTTCAGCAGAGGGCTTAGGGTTTGTATGTGAGCCAGTGGCCCTCCACAGGTTGGCTGGGGTTGGTTAATTTCAGCCAAGTCTCCCTTTCTTGTCAGCCTGGATTTGAGTTGACAGGTTAGTGAAAGGGAGGGCCCACAGCCAGGAGGAGAGAGCATTCGCCTGACCTGAGCTTGGTGCTGCAGTGTGCTAAGAAAGTAATTTTTTAAAACAAAAATCTGCTGCCCAGGGTTTGATTTCTGAAAACAGCTAGGTAGCTAACCCCAAAGCACTGACCTGGGATATCCAAATGCCTCAAAATGAGACAGCAGTGCATATCCTTACATGCTAAAATAAAGGTGACTACAGAACTTTTACTCTCAAAATGTTAGGTATCAAGCTAGGGGAAGGTGTAAAGGGGAGCTGAAGTCAAACTATCTCCACCTTTGATCTTGTAGTAAGGCCTCCACAAACTTAGGGTACGTCTACAGTACAAAATTAATTCAAAGTTATTTTATTTAAATTTCCAGAATCAAGTTCATACATTCAATGTTGTGTGTCCCCACTAAAGCGCGTGAATTTGGCATAGTGCGTCCACAGTACTGAGGCTAGCATCGAATGTCGGAGTGGTGCACTGTGGTAGCTATCCCGCAGTCTCTGCCGCCCATTGGAATTGTGGGTTAAGCTCCCAGTGCATGATGGGGCAAAAACATTCTCGGGGGTTTTTCTGGGTGTGTCATCACTCGCTCCTCCTTCCGTGAAAGCTACGGGTGCACAGTCTGTCTCCTGGTACTATGAATCCACTTCGAATGTCCTCTCCTCTTTCTATCTACTCTTTCATCTAATCAATTCCTGCCATTTCTTGGCCATCATGAACAGAGCCACACAGCTTCCGCCGCAAACGCTGCTCACGCTTCCGCCGCAAACTCTGCTCTTGCCGCTTTTTCCACGTTGTCGGTCCTGGGCTCCCGTGTAAGCTACAGAAGGCAACAATTCCCTGCCATTTCTCGGCCATTGTGAACAGAGCCGCACAGCTTCTGCCACTGTTTCCATGTTGTCGGTCCTGGGCTCCCGTGTAAGCTACAGAAGACAACCATTTACTGTTGTGAGAGGCTACCGGTGTGGTGCTTTTGCTTTCTCCTGTTGATATCACTCGGCTGCGTGCGTGTGTTCCCTCTGTGTGCTGCCCCAGCTCTGCAGATAGCTGACACAGCAGACCCAACGAGAACCCCCAATAACCACAGAGTCTAGTAAGGTACAAAGGCACCTCGGCCAGGTTTATTGCGACCCTGACACAATTTCAGTTCCCCATAGATTACTTAGTCTACCGGGCATACTGCTAGAAAGTGCCGCTCGGCAATGGCCTCAGCTCAGTGGCGGGACTTTCCACTGCCCCCTCAGCCGGACAAAGACACCACCCCAGGGATACATTTTTATACACAGGTACAAACAAGTTACACATCACTCCTGACGTATTGAGGTGCAATCCCTCTACGTAGCAAGGTACAACCCCTCTACGTAGTAAGGTGCCGCCTCTCACCTTGTACATGTTG